CTGCAATCAGGGTATGTTTTTCTATGGACTCAGAAATATAATCTTTGATTCTACTTGGATAAATTAACATCCATTTAAATGATGTTGCATGGATGGATGTAAAATCTCTTGATCTTCGCTAACAGGTAATGTGTTGACAATATGCTTTCTTTCTTCTTTATTTTTAGATGGAAAAACTATAGAGTTGCCCGAACCCATATCCCTGGCTTCCGTGACAGAACCACACCGTTTAACTGTACCACAAGCATTGTTCTTTTTCTGATTAAGAGCTTCAATAGTATCATTTGAGTGATGTTGCACTGATGGATTTAAAATCGTTTGATCTGTTTGGCCAACTGGTTTAGTGGATAACTCTTTTGAACTGGATTTTATGTTTAAACTGGTTTATTATGTTGTCGACTAATCTATTTTACAAGGCTGCATATGTTCAGTTTTGGTTTGGACTAATGACGCTTATTGAATGAGAAGAGGAGCATGGCTTGAAGATAACAAGGTTCGGTCATGGCATGCATGGAATTGGAGATTAGTTCAAGCATGAAGTTTAGACATTAGGATAAATTTTTATGTATTTATTTTGTAACTCTTGATGTAAGTTGAATTTGTGATGGTAATGAACTGGAATCTGGTACATGAACTTGAAATTCCTCTTTGTAATGTTTCATGATATAGATGTCCATGTAACATTTTGAAGATTCAACGATAAACCTTAGTAATCAAAGTGTTCTCTTTCTTTCATATTGAATTCTTTTTCTTTGATCTTGACATGGTATTGATGGAATGATGATATAATGAAGTTTGAAGCATGGTTTGGAGTCTTTTGAATTTAATGATAATTTCCACAAATTCAAGTAGTATTATTTTCTAAAATGAACTTTAAATCCCAAACTTCTTTTCTTTTGAGCTTTGAATAGATCATGGTATGCAAAGCCTCCTTTTTACTATTTTCCATTTGAATGGACCAAGTGATACCACATCGATTCATCATGTCTTAAAGTGTCTTCATGTATTTTAATGATCTTTATATTCTTATCAAGATTGATTTGTAAACCCTAATTCTTCACACGATGCTTTAGGTTTAAATCTCAAGTAAATTGGAATGAAATCCCAAAGAAGGCTTGTGTCACAAGTAAACCATGTACTCAGATGAATAGCTTTGCATCAATTATCCGCACCACTAACTTGTAAGGTGACTCCACATGAAACTATCTTCTCCTCTTGCATATAGCCGTGTCCTCATTTCTTGTGATTCAAGTAATGAATACCTTATCGTTTGAAAACATTATATCAAATAAAACCCTAGTTATCCATGGATGATATCCTCTGATGATGGCCTTGCTTGATGATCCTAAATTTTCAAAGCAACCACTCTTGAATGGTATATGATTCATGGAAATAAACCGTAATAAAAGGATGATGATGAGAAAAAGAAGATGGTGCTTGTAGAATCTCCATGCTCAGATTCATGGTCTCTTAGATGACTAGAATTACTTGTATTATAAGAAACCATAGCCATCTCATGTGATGGAGAAAACAAAAAATATTGAGAAGAAGGAGCATTCGGTGGTGAGTAATCAAGCATTTGAAGATCATATTATAACTTTGTCCACGGGGTAAATCCCAACTCACGCCATTGTCATCTTTGTAGCCTTAAGGACAAAACCTAGCATGATGAATCATTTGTTGAATAAACAACATCCATGCTTGGGCACAATCATCGAAGGAACCCTAAATCAATGAACCTTGAGTGCATACAGATGGAGAAGGTTTGAGATGGTGAGAGGAAAAAAACCTAGCTCAATGACATTCTTAGATAATATATGATAAAGTCTTAAGTACACAAGTTAAATCTTAAAGTGCATGTTCCTTGAAGAAAACTATGATAAATAAAAATTTGTATTTCGAGGAACCCTGCTAGAGAAGACGTTTATGCTGCTTGAGATCCAAAACCCTAATCTCATAACAAGAATAATGAGAGCACCAGCTGGATCAACATGAAGAATGTAACAACCTTAGTCCACAGAGAAAAAACCCTAATTCCAAAAGTTCTTTGATCTCGTAACCATGGAATCGATGATATGTATGAGATTTATAGGATGTGATGAGGGATCTTAGGGGCAAAAAATTGGGTATAAGAAGAAGAAGGAGACTCCAAAAAGAAAGTTTGTGTCCATTACAAAATATGATGTGATAGATGTAAAGCACAATGTTGATTACTTTGTGGTTTCCCCTCTCAAGGAAAATAAGAAAATAGTTGGTGGAAAGAAATTTCCTAATAATGTTCCTAATACACCCCTGGACAATGTGTCGTTTCATTATAAGGAAACTTTTGTTAAATGGATATTTTTTTTATCACATACATATAGTCCCTTAAAGGGAGCTTTCTAAGGAAGAATTAAAATGTGAAGAAAATGTCCAGTTCTTTAGGGATGCTCAGATTATGAAGACAATGTCAAACCTAAGACCTTTTTACCTAAAGCTTGTCAAAGAGTTTATTGTCATCATTCCCAAAGAAATCAATAATGCTGGAAGGAAATACTTTAGAGAGGTTTATGCTCGAGGTTATTATTTTAGATTCTCTCCAACTGTAATTGATGAGTATCTTAGAAGAGGCAAGATGATAAGTGCAAATGTGATTCCCCCACTAAAAGTCATTTCCCAAAAAATTACTAAAAGTGTTTATGAATATTAGCCAAGAATTAGTTTTCTCCCTATTGCTAGTCTATGAATGAAGTATACAATATTGAAAAAAGTTGGAGTCTCCAACTAGGATACTAATAATCATAGTTTAGGTATCACCCATTATCTTTCTAGATTTATATATCCAATAGGCACTAGGATAGCTTTCAACTTTGGTGAGTATGTTATTGAGAAATTTTTGAAGCAAGCAGAATCTTTTGCTGTGAAGTTACCTATAGAATTTCCTTCTCTTATTTATGGTGTTGTGATTAAGAAGAAGCCTAATATGTTGAGTATTGAGGATGTTAGTGGTTTTAAATTTGAACTTTAGCTATAGACTATTTATTGGGAATCATATCCCAAGGAAGAACAAGGTGGATGATCTCTTCAAAATGATGTGATTCTTACCTCCATTACAAGGAAGAACAAGGTGGATGATCTCTTCAAAATGATGAGTCCAAAGGTGGTTGATGCGTCTACTTTCCATGTTGCAGGTCAAGATGTAGAGAATGATGCAAATGAAAATATGGAGAAATATGTTAGTGAAGAAGGTGTGGAAGCCAGTGACGGAGAAAAGGAGTATCAATCAGTTTCCTCTAGTGACTCATAAGAATGAAGTTGTGGCTTAATGAAGTCTTTTTGGATTTTTCTTTAATGATGGTGATTTGCGCCCATGCATGGGTAATTTTGTTATATTTTTGCAATTGCTCTCTAGGATGGATAATGACTTATATTACCCCTTTATTGTGTTTGTTCTATTTTGTTGGGTTCTTCGTTTGTGGCTTAAGCCCCTCATGGGATGTTTCTCTTTGAATTATTTTGTTATGCTACCCCTTGCCCATTTTGAGGCAATAAGGGGAGACTATTTTAATGATGAATATCTTTATGCTAGACAAGTTTATGCAATGAGAGCTCTTAGATCCTTAAAATATGTGTCTATTATGCATTTGCATGTTATGTATGTTTTCGTTGCTCTCTGATAATATTTGTATCATGTCATGAAGTTTGTCTATAAATTATGTTGCACACCTTGCATGTTGTATTTTCCTAAAAATGGCTAAAGAAGGGAGATTATTGTTAGATCTGATTGCATCATTTTAATAGGCAACAGGTAGAGTGAGATATCATGACATTGTGAGAGACATCATGTCTCTATGAGCTCAAACCATGAGGCAACATGTGGAGCATGATATTTCATAGATTTTGAGACATTATGCCTTGTCATGAAGCCAATTTGCTTTGAGTAAATGTCACGTCTTTTGAAGATTTGTTTCCATTCTTGTTCAATCTTGTTTAATTGATTTATGTGTTTTTTGGATTATGGAAAGTTTTCCCAAAAGACCATTCACTAAGAATTAAAAAGAACAAATATGATATGTTTCTAGAAATTATCAAATCAAAGATTGCAAATCAATTCAATGAAGAATTATTTATTCCCTTATGGATTTGCTTCTGCCGCATGATAAGATATAGATCCTAATGGGCCTTGCAGCTGGATTTCGTTGCTCTTTAAGATGAAGCTCTCCATATAAAGACTAGGACCTTTAAAAACAAGCAAGGCATGTTAAGTTGTGCTGAGTCTTTTGTTTTGTCTTTCTATTGTTAAACTTTATACGTTAGTCATATTCCTATACATGAGAATAGAGTAATTTTGAGTTGTAATTCTTCCATCATTCATAAGATATTGTAAATATCCAAACATTTGAGAGAGTGTTGAGAGAAAGTGGAAGCGGTCTCGTATTCCGGATGAGTCCTGAATAGGAATTCACGAGTAGTACTAGAAAAAAAAAAGCTTTGAACTAGAAAGGTTCAACTAAGAATAATTTATACTTTTGACTATTTAATGCTCTTGAGGTGTAGATGAATTTACACTAAACATGATTAACAATTCATTATGTTCGTTTACTTAGAATCATAATTTATCTGTTATTGCATTACTCTTGCCATACACATTAGTACACATTGTGGTTGACATATCTTTTTGTTCGAAAAACAAAATTTCACTAACAAATACCGATCAACATATATCACAAAACATTTTAAAAGAGAACGACGATGAATAATTCCTTTTTAACAACTCTTTTTTAACCGTTTTTAAAACAGTGTTCTAACACTAACAATAGTTCACATCCATAAACAAAATACCAAAAAAAAATTCCACCTTTTATAACAAGAACTCATGGAACAACATCAAACAACCCTCAAAGTTTTTGTCCCCAACACCTTCAAGGGTGTTCTATGCCTGTGCGTCTTTGAGGAAGACTTGTTTGAATTATTTGGAGAAATTGGAGAACACAGACAGACGATCACATCTAGATTGTCTATTAGGAACCATTTTGCGCGATTTCTCTCTTTCTCTTCAATGAATCTTGTTTCTGCAAGATTATATTCCTTCTAAACCTTCTGATAAAAAGATCAGCAACTTCATCAATATCATCCTCAAGTTTAAACTCTTTCCCTGCTTCTTCCTTACAATTCTTGACCCTGTCTATCACTGATCCTCCAAAATCCAATCCCTCTGAATCAAAAAGATTGTGAGTCAAATCAGGATACTTATCATCATCATCATCTTCATAGTAATAACCATATCCATCTTCTTGATCTTGTTCATCCAAAACATCTTCTATTTCATTTGGATTTTGCAACGCTTCATAAGTGTGAGCATTTTTGTTATAAACAACTATGGCTCTATTATGATAATCACAAGTCCCACCACCTTCAATTAAGCAATCTTCCTTCGAATGATGAGGATGGTTCCCCCAAAGAGAGTGAAATTTCTCTGAAATAGAACTCATAAGGAGTTTTTTATTCTTCATGAAAGAGAATAAAATTAAACGAGCTTTGATGGCATTTGTTTTGGATTTTAAAGCTATAGTTTTTGAGGTTAAACCAGGTATGATTTGCTTGAACAATCTCACTGTTTTGTTCTTAATGTTGCTCATTGTTGTAATAATAAAGTGATAATTGATGACTCTAGAAAAAAAAAAACTAGCAAATATCAAAATCAAAATTGTGGGAATGTTTAGGTTTAAGAGAAGGTAATAGATAGATAGTATGAATGTTATTGTACAAGCTTTGTTTGTACAATGGCACGAAAGAGTTCAAGGTGTGAACAAGGGCTTATATAGGAGAAGATACAACCAGATGATTTAATAGATGATGATGTGTTTTGTGTGAGAGAAACAAGTTCAGAAAAGAAAGAGTAAGGGTTAAGAAAACAAAAGTAATATGAAAAAAAGTTAAAGTTCGGTGAAAAAGTTGTGGGACACTCGCTGATTCATGACAGGTCTGAGTTATTGCTGTTTAATTGGTATAGGAAGTTCTTAATTTATTTGTGGTTGAAATTAATTAGTAGGGTTGGGTTATGGGAGTGCCTTTTGAAAAAAAGTTAATTTTAGGTTTGATCTCTCTTCATAATTATTACATTATAGTGTGGTGAAATGGCCTTCATAGGCCTTCAACCACCTTGGTGTTGTTATTGTTGCCAAAGTATGATTTGGCATCTTTTGGTACAATTGTTTTTGCTTTCTATAAACTTCATCTTTAGATAGTAATCTCTTGTATTAGATATGATTATAATGTACGAAAAATTACATTTTGAGAGTGATATGAAACAATTTTTAACTTCGAGTAAGAGTAATGTTGGGGATGATGATAAGGAACTCTAATATATTAGTATTTCTTTGCATGTTTGAACCCTGCAACGGGAGAGTGTATTTGCATACGCTCCAACAATTATGTCTTTGATTATAATAAATGTGTAAACAAATTTTATCTAGAGTACAAAGTCTCTAAAATCATCATTGGGGACACATGACTTAGAGAACAAATGTCATTTATTAGACTTTACATACTAGGACTCTTGTATAATGTTGTCTGTATTAGGAGAGGTCCAACTCCTTCTTCAGAAGTTTGAGTGAAGGCTCTTAAAACACATATATGTAACTCCTTCTCAACTATATCCAGGGTGTTGGGTCTATATTTGGTCATTTCAATATCGACTTGTCTTCCTTTCTTATTTAACATTGTTCACCCTTCTTTAGAGTTTTTGGGTATCCTGGAGTCTTAGTTTCATTTGACCAACATGTGAAGATTTTTGAATCATTGATTGACCTCGATAAGGATTTCAAATATCACTACATAATCGTTAGACCTGTGATATAGATCTCTTATAGAAATGTTTGTATTTGCAAATTGTTAAACAAAATGTGTTTCACCTATGTAGGTCAATATTCCTACAATGTTTGTTTGAAGACAACTTTAGCCTATACTAGAGGATTTTGATTAATAATGTTAAAGGTTTATCCGAGTAAGGTCATAAATATGAGAACATAATTAGAGTATAGTAGCATACGAATTGTATTGGTATATTTACCAAGGGTAGACAAATAACACACATCGTCCAAAGAGGAGGGCCTAGCCGTCCATTTATCAGAATGTGCACCCACTATATGTAGCATTCTCCCTTTGATAAAATCAATCTCCTTATGGGCTTGGATAAAATTACTTATTGACCACTCCTAAAACGTGAGAATTAACATTTTTTAAAACACTAACGGTATGTAAACTCAGTCAAAGAGAGAAAGCAACATTCTTCTGAAGAACAGTGGAAATAATGGCTCTAAGCTTCTAGGACAAGCTGAATAACATTTCCATGGGTCCTTGGATCTAGGCCCAATTAGTCTTTCTAAATATCTCAACCTCTAGCTTGAGAAAGGGATTGAATTTCACTCACAGATCACCTAGAGACAGAGATTGTCACCATCTCTGTGTGAGCTTGTTCTAACACCACAACCACCATAAACCCTCAAACAACGCTACACAACTAGGTGTTGTCACTCATTGTGCATTTAACAGTCATTTTGATATTCACATCTTGAACCCCGCTATCCAATATGGTGAACAAGAAGGTACCGACAACGAGAATGCCATGGCAGAAATGTGTCCCGCCATGGATGACATACGTCGCCAGAACCAGACTTTGGAGGACAACATCCTTCACATATGGTAATTCTAGTAGGAGGTTGACCCTTCTAATGATACTGGAGTTCTTGACCCTTAACCTCTCTCTGATGAAAAATGCACGAAACCTTATTTTGTATGTTACTAATCAAGGAAGTTCCATTAAAGAGGAACATGCTTTTGATTATCACAACTAGTATTTGACGACAACAACTAAAGTCAAGTATAAAGTAGTTAAAGATGAAAACCATAACATTAGGATTTAATTTACTTTAATCTATGATGATGGTAACCAAATGAAATGTAAATCAAGCTTCATCTCAAAGTAAAGATCAAGAAAGTGTCAAAAAAGAGTGAAACATCTGACAAGACTTGAAGTATGTGTGAATATATAGTGTAAAAGAATTAGGGTTTACTTGTAAAGCATACGACTAACCACACATACAATAAAATATAATTTTAAACTTATTTAAAAAAAACATTTTTAAAATACCTTAAAGTCATTCCAGATGAGCTATAAGCTGTCAGAAAAGATCTAAGATATTTTTTGTCTTGCCAAATAATTGGCACCTTAACCTAATCAATTGTGTCAGTTCAAATATGTGCCATATGCGATTAGGACAACATCTTAATGATGTACAAGGATAAATATCCTTCCTTTCCTTTTTGATCTTGTTACTCGATTAAATTAGGCCTACCAATTGATTAGTGCATGATGCCAATTGATTGACACATCAATTAAGGCCTTAAATGTTTTCCTATTTGTGACAACCTCTATCCTATAAATAAAGATCTCTTCCCACATATTTTCACATTCAAAAAATGTGATTTCATTTCTCACTTATCACTTCTCACTCTCTCTCTAAAAATTAATTTTTGTTTACTTTCTCTCACTAAAAGTTTAGCCGTAATGCTTACAAGAAATTGATTTTGTGAGTGAGGAAATTGTAATTCTGGAATGGTAGTTTTGTAAGTTCACCAAGGAAGTTTTTGTTTTTACCTTGGTTGAACTATTTATCCACTATGGTATTATTTATTTGGGTTCGAAGATAAACCTGTGAAAAGCTTTTTGTTTGGGGATTGTGTGATCAAGTCCCTGTTTGGGTTCGAAAGTTCAGCCCATTCAAAATCTTTCAATGGTTTTAGATCAACCATCTGGTAAAATCTCATAGGTTTTTGGTTAGACCGTGATAAAACAAAGTTTAGGTTAAAGCTCGACCCATAATAAAAGTGTGTTTGGTTAAAGCTCACCCCGTTATAAAAGCTTGCTTCAGTTAAAGCTCAACCTATGATAAAAGTTTGTTTTGGTTTGAGATCAGCCCATGATAAAATCTTTGTATGAAGCTTGAAGACTAACCACTCCAACTTTCTTGTGGAAAGGTGACTAACCGCTTGAATCCATCATTTGCAAGGAAGAATCTTTGCTTATTTTCCTGTATGCTATTTGTAACACCCTGAATTATAGATTAATTATTTAATTGATTAATTTAGCATGAATATATGAGTTAATGTGAAGTGTTTGATGTCTTGATGATTATATGTGATCCTTTATAGTGATTTGTGATATTATGATGAATATGAAGTGTACCATGATGATTGAGACAAATATGATGTTTGGATGAATATGATGTATGATGGGTTGTTATGTGTAGCATAGTGGGAATTAGACTAATTAAGAAGATTATTAGTATTTTAGAAGAATTAGAATAATTGTTTAGAATTATTTTAATTGGGAAAAATAGAATAATAGAAGTGTACAGAAATAAGGGAAATATGGTAATTAGTGGAGAATAAGTAAGGACAAGGTGGGAAGTTTGATATTAGGGGTCTAAAGGTTATAAAAGTAATTAGGGAAAAAGCAAGTCAATGTGGAACGATCGTAGAATTGGGAGAAAGAATCTGACGCTATGGACAAAAGAGGCTAGGGCACAAAGAGGCATGAGATTTCGGCAGAGACCCAAAAAGAAGTTGAATTGCAGTTATAATCTTAAGGTAAGGGAATTTTTATCATTGTTATTCTATTTCATTTAAGGCTTATATGATTTGTAGATTACCTTAGGTTTTGGTAGATGGTGATTCAGTGTTGTTTGAAGAGAAATTGATGAATTGGTGATGAATAATGGTTTATAACTTATGTATAATGAGTATAGAATTATAGGTTGTTGATAGATGATGAAACTATGTGATTAGATGGTGTTTTAGGACCTGTAACATGATAAAATTGTAAGATAATTAGACTGGTTTATGCAGGAAATCACAACAGGAAAACCTTGTTCACGTTGTGTCGCAGGGCGATGTGTGACGCGAAGGTAGCGTCTCTAGGCGATGGAAGTGTGTCGCCAAACGACGGAAGGCATAATTGGTTTTCCAAGTATGAAATCTTAAAATGATCATAACTTTAGTTCTAGAGCCCAGATTGAGGTGTCGCTCGAAGCGTGGGATAACTAACATAATGAACTTTAATTATATGGAGAAAAATGATAATTAAGGAGTATATATCCTAGATCTAAGTTAGAATAGGATTAGGTTCCCCGCGTTGAATCACAATGATGTTTTATTTATGATGATGTTTTGTTTATGATGATGATGATGATATGGTGTTGGGTTGATTACTATGATGATGCTTTATTTATCATGATGATTCTATGATGTTCTGTTGATTACTATGATGATGCTATGATGTTGTGTTGATTACTATAATGATGCTATGATGTTGTGTGGATTACTATGATGATATGATGATGTTTGTGATGAATCATGATTGGTGATGTGTGTTGACTAGCCGTGGTAGTACTAAATATGTTGTTTCGCATCATTACATTCATGGCATAGTTAGGACTTCGGTCCAGTGATGTTAATAGAGCTTCGGTCCAACGAAGATGAAAGGATGATTGTCCAGTGAAGGCATCAATCCCATAGTGTGGATTGAGTGCAAACTTGTGAAGTGCTCTAGTTCTAAGCGGGAATCGATCCTATGGTG